AGCAAACAATATAGGCAGTCTTAAGGCAGACTGACAGACATCAGTTAGATATCTTATTTCTTTTAGTTTATCCAACTATTCCTACGTAGCACACATATATTTTGCACATGCCAGGCACTCACTTTGACACTGAAAACTCGATGTCTGTAACTGGGTTTCTGGCTTGCAGCAGTACAACAGTCTGGCAGGGGAGGTGTTCATGTAGGCAAATGATTATCATATGATGTCATAAGTGCAATAGAAGTACATATACAAGGTGTCACAAAAGTGCTGGAATCCAGGGATGAGGTCAGGAGACAATCACAGAGAAAACAGTCTTTGAGTTGAGTGTGAGGTCTTGGTAGGAAACACCGTGCGGTGGTGAAGAGCACAGAGGCTGTAGCCACACTCTCTGGGTTTAAATCCCAGCTCTACTACGTACCAGAGGAAGAACCTGAGGCATGTTATTCAACTTCCTGCACTTTAGGGTCCTCCTCTGAAGAGTTGCCATAATCACTGGACATGGCTCATAGCACTGAAGTGTGGATTATGTGAGTTTGTAGGTATCATAGCTTTAAAACAGTGCATGTTACATGGAAAGCCCTTGGTCAGTGTTAGCCAGTATGCCAGGGATAGGGATAGCAGAAAAAGAGAAAGCAAGCAGCCATGAAGGAGTAGGGCAGGCTTGGATTGTTAAAACTGGCATATGAGGTGTGTTTGTGTGGAAGGTGGTGGGAAATGGCAAAGTGAGTGGACAGGTTATGGAGAGAGAGCCTTATAGGCCACACCATAGGGGCTCACATTTATGAAGACTCTGGAGTATTTTAAGGTACAAATTCAGATTGTTATCATAGAAAAACAACTCCAGAGCAGCAGAGAAAGAGTAGATGCCAGAAGATTAATTAGAAGGCTACTGGTAAGATGATAAAAGCTTGGTTGAGGGAGCAGGGGAGAGTATAGATTTACAATTATTTAGAAGGTAAAATTGAGTTTTGGTGACCCATTAGATTAAGGGGGATGGGGTAGAAGAAGTTGCAGATGACTCTTAGATGTCTAGTTGGGATGATTTGGTACAAAGGCAGAAGGACTGGTCAAGACAGAGGCGTAGGCAAACATGGCTGGCTCCTCACACAACCACAGCAAAGAACACAACTCCACTACAAAACAGTATCACCCAGAATCACCAGAAAATCGATCTGTATGGAAGTCTGACAACCAAAGAATTAAAGAAGTCATATATATCCAGACAGGCAGGAGGGGTGAAGACATGGAAATACAAAGAGAGGTGGAGAGGTACAAAGATGTAGTGATGATGCAGAATGAGCGGTCCCACACCCGTGTGTGGTGGTTAAAAATCAAGAGGGATACCTCTGGAGCCAGGGATCCAGCCCTACACCAGGGCTCCAGTGCCAGAAAGGTAAGTTCGCATAACTTCTGGATGTAAAAACCAGTGGGGTTTGGGGCAGCAGAAGAATCAGTGGGATTCTCAGGAGTTTCCTCCTAAAGGGCCCACAATGGACTTTGGACTTATGCAGACTCACTCCCTCTGGGCTCAGCTGGAAAAGCACTGTGGCCTATAGGAAGAAACTGAAGCATCTGACATCAGCAAGTGCTAAGGGACAGTTTTCCCACCTGCCCCCTCCCTGCCCCGGGGAGCCAGGCATTGGAGTTGTCCTCTTTCTGAGCCCTCTCTCACACAGCCACAGGGCACTGACACCGTATGGGAGACTCTGCCAACCTGGTTCACATGGTTGCCCTGACCTGGCCATTACCTAAGGCTCTGCCCCATCCAACTTACCAGTGCACTTTTCTACAATAGGCCACGCTACTAAGACAGGGAGTCAGAGAAGATATACCAAATACATAGACACAAACACAGGGAGGCTGCCAAAATGAGGAGACAAAGAAATATGAGCCAAAATATGAGTTTTGTTCTGTTTTTCTAGAGAACAAAACTTTAGAAAAAGAACTAAAAATAGAGACAAGCAATCTATCAGATGCAGAGTTTTAAACACTGGTTATTAGGATGCTCAAGGAACTCATTGGGTACTTCAACAGCATAAAAAAAGACCCAGGCAGAAATGAAGGTTTCATTAAGTGAAATAAAAAAAAATTTACAGGGAACCAACAGTGGAGTGGATGAAGCTGGGAACCAAATCAATGATCTGGAACATAAAGAAGAAAAAAAACATTCAATCAGAACATCAAGAAGGAAAAAGAAAAGAAAAAACAAGGATAGGCTAAGGAGCCTTTGGGACAACTTCAAAGTAGCAACATTTAAATCACAGGGGTATTGGAAGGAGAAGAGAAAGAACAAGAGATTAAAAACTTATTTGAAAAAATAATGAAAGAAAACTTCCCTAATTTGGTAAAGGAAATAGACATATAAATCCAGGAAGCACAGACCCAAAGAGAACCACACCAAGACGCATCATAATTAAAATGTCAAAGGTTAAAGATAAGAGAGAATCTTAAAGCAGCAAGAGAAAAGCAGTTAGTTACATACAAAGGATGTAACTAGCACATAAGACTGTCAGATGATTTCTCAAAAGAAATTTTGCAGGCCAGAAGGGACTGGCAGGAAGTATTCAAAGTGATGAAACACAAGGACCTACAACCTAGATTACTCTATCCAGCAAAGTTATCACTTAGAATGGAAGAGCAGATAAAAAAATTTCCCAGACAAGGTAAAACTAAAGGAGTTTACCATCACCAGCCATTATTATATGAAATGTTAAAGGGACTTATCCAAGAAAAAGAAGAACATCAAAACTATGAACATTAAAATGTCAATAAATTCACAACTATCAACAACAGAATCTAAAAAACAAACTAAGCAAACAAGCAGAACAAAAACAGAATCATAAATATGGAGATCATTTGGAGGATTATTAGTTGCAAGGGGGAAGAAAGAGAATGGGGGAAAAGGTGCAGGGATTCAGAAGTACAAATTGGTAGGTACAGAATAGAAAGGGGAATATTAAGAACAGGATAGGAAATGGAGAAGCCAAAGAATTTGTATGCATGACCCATGGACATGAACTAAGGGGGAGGATTGCCAGAGGGAATGGGGGTACCAGGTGGAGGGGGACAAAGGGAGAAAAGTTGGGACAACTGTAATAGGATAATCAATAAAAAATATATATATATATATATATATATATATATATATATATATATATTTTTAAAGGCAGAAGGATAAGCAGTTTGCAGGATAAGGTTTGGGATTTGTCAAGATTGACAGGCTCTGGATCGACCACAATTAGTGTTTAGTCTGCCACTCAGGAGCTGGAAGTCAAGATCAAAGACTCAAGATAAAGGCAGTAGTTGACATTGTGGGAATGTGAGTGAGAGCATGACACTGGTTGTATGCAGAGAGATTCGGGGATGGTTCTGGTAATCCCAGCATTTAAGAGCCAAAGAGAGTTGAGTCAGCAAAGGAGACTGGTCACAGGGGAAGGAGGAAATGTGGGAGAAAGTAGATTATGGAAAATGATGGAGTGGAAACTTGAGGAAGTGGTCAAATGCAGGAGAAAGGTCCAATAGAATGAGAATTAAGAACTGTCTTAATTCTTAAGAATTAAGAATTGCTGGAGTTGGCAATTAGGCAAAAGCTTAAGAAAACCCCACCAGCTATTAATTACCTCAGTGAAATATAACGGTAGGGAAAAAGATACAGTGAATCTCCTTCATTAAGATCCTAGGTCTCACTTGCTATTTCAGGTCAAGTGCTAGGTTAATCCTTGGATAATATCCATGGATGTGGTCCAGCTTCAGGCTTGCTGCATCAGGCAAATATTGCCTGTCCTCACAGAGCTGATTTCACAGAGCCTAGCAAGGAGCTTGGCACATTAGTATGTGCCCACCAAAGATTGGTGGAAAGAATGGATAAATGTCTCTGTTGGCCTGAGGATCTGTCTTGGTAGAGTGCTGGGAACTTCTGATAACATGGCTGGCTCCAGGAAGCATGTGGCCCCCAGGAGTTGCCAAAGTTCTGTTGCTTTGATAAGAACTTAGAAGTCCTAAAGTTATAGGGCTGATCTGGTAGTTTATGGCTGTTGTGTAGGGAAAAGAGTGTTAGAGGTAAGGGTGATAACACTTTCAACTAAGGTTTGATTCTGTTCTGAAACACATTAACTTTTGGCTGATTCTTAGTTGTGATTCTCGGGTGTGTTCATCTCTTCCTTCCCTCTTTCCTTCCTCGTGTGTGAAGTGTCTAATTTGTCCAACTGTGTAGTCAATTTCTTAAGGACAAGGACCACTCGAAAAAGTCTTTTGTACTCCTTGCAGCATACTTATCCACTTGACCCTCAGCTTAGAATCCTGGTGCCCTCATCCTCACCAGACTTATTAGAACCAAGAATAGGTCAAGCCTGGACTGTCCATTCACCTTGACGTCCATCAGCCGTCAGTGAAAAATATGTTTGTTACTTCCCAAAACTTATCCTAGGGAGGTTGAACTGACTGGACATTTAGAGCAAAGAGCTGCGCTGATACTGCAACTTCAGCCACTAGCGGAATGCGTGGGGCCTTGAACGACCAGTCTTCCTTAACTGGAACCCTAGGGATGTGCTACTGGTCTCTGCGGCTGCTCGTGCCCGGGAAGAACCTGTGCTATCCTAAAGGGCAGCTCCCACCTGGCTAGAATAAGGTCTTCTGTACCAAGTCCACATGGGGGACCTCAAGCAATCCAGACACTGGAACTAGGGGTGGGAGAGTGGGGGTAGAAGAAAACATGGGGGTGGTGTTTTCTTCTTCTTTTTGTATTGATAGGGTGGTTTGGGATAGATCTAGCACCTCAGTCCTATCCATTCCAGTCGCCCTTTGCAGCTCAAGTTGTTGGCCTCCGCTCGAGCCTCCTTAAGCCCCTTGTAGACCCGGCCCCGCGGTCCGGCGGCGGAAGGAGCGCGTAGGAAGCGGAGGCGCTGTCCACGGACCCCCACCCCCGCCGGAGACCGCCAGGCGCGATGGGAGGATGTCGGCGCGCGGAAGGCGTGCGTCGCCCCAGCGCCGCTCGCGTCTCCCGCCCCCCTTCCAGGAGGACCCCGCGCTCCGGGGAACCCCGGCGCGGGGCTCCCGACATCCACCCCCTTCTCTCCGCCTCCCTCAGGCCCGGGGCTGCCTCCCCGGGCCGCGCCGGGGCCGCCCCGCACTGCGCATGAGCGGGAGCCCGGCGAGCCCGTGAGAGGAGCCGCCGCCGCCGCCGCCGTCCATTCGCTGCGGAGCCGGAGGAGGAGGGGAGAGGCCTGGAGGACACCAACATGGTGAGGCACTGCAGCCGTCCGGCCGTCCGCCCGCCCGCCCCGCCGCTGGGGGCCGGCGCCGCCGCGCACCCCCGCCCCGGCAGCCCTCCGCCCCGCGGTGACCCCGCCGCCCCGAGCCTTGGCCCGCGGCCTCCGGCCTCCGTCCCGCTCCCCGGCGGGGCTCTCTTCCCCGCCTCTCCCTTCCTCCGTCCCTTCCCGCCCGGCGCCGCCGCTACGCGAGAGCCGAGGAGGCGGAGCGGAGCCGGGCCTAGTCGGGAGCCCCGGGGAGTTTGGGGCTTAGGGAGCGGCCTCCGGTGCCCTCGCCGGGCCCAAGCGCGGGTGGGGGAGGCGTTGGGGCGGGGGGGAGGGTATGGGGCAACGGCCCGGCTCCTGCCCGGTGCCCTCGCCGGCTCCATTGTGTCTGGCCGGGGACCGGTGTCCGGGGTTCCGGGTGAGGATCCTCCCCCCGCCCCGGAGCCAGGGCTCCCCCTCCGCCCGGCCGGTGAGAAGGAAAGACTCCTCCAGCTCCTCTCCCTGCTCGGATCCCGGCTCTAACACCCCTCAAGTCTACAGGCAGTTTTGATTGGGGCGGGGTGTCAGCCCTTTTCCTTTCTCCATCACCTCGCGATACGAACCATGCTTTGGAAAACGAGTTTCACCGGCCAGTTGGTGGACGTTATACTTCTCTACTGAGAACACCGGAGACCGCGGAGCTTGGGGGACCGGGGGCGGGGGGGGGGCGCCGAGTACGGAAGTGCAACCTGTTCTCGTTTCAGAAACAGACTTGGTAGCTTTCGAGCACATATTTTATTTGATTGGGGTGGGAGGAGTAACTGCTTTATTACCCCAGTGAAACCGTTTGTAATTTAAAAAAACGCTTAAGTTATTCCCCCCTTCTTTTTTGTCTGGGGAACAAATGCCTTAACGTGGTAGTCAGGTTATCTGTTTACATTTTGGTAATTTTGTACCTGACTCTGTCGGACTCCTTGGGTTTTTCAGAAGCGATGTTTGGCATTATGGTCCGAGTGTGAGTTGAATTCCATGCAGGTTACTGTATGAATAGACAGTAAAAATGATATTGTTGTCTGTTGGCTCATGGGCAGCATAAAGGCCTCTTTGAGGAGGGTGTGTGCGTGTGTGGCTGTGTTAAGGGAATTGCTCCAGTGTATTTTGTTTTCAGTTGGTCTTATTTCTGCTGAATGCCACCGATCTAGCCCCAGCCTCCCACTTGGCAAAATTTTGGTGTCATATATAGATATGTGGTTTCGTTTGCTATGTATTCTGTGACTTATATTCTGTGGTAAATTCTATAAAAATTTACCGTTTGTAAGAAAACTGCCATAAAGTACCGGTCAGTAACTTTGGATTGATATCACAGTGTTCAAAGATCCACTAGGGCGTCCAAACAGTTTCTAATTTCTTAAGTATTTCTACTGTCATAGACATGACTCCTAAAAGTTTCCAGACCCTTGGCATGTAGATAAGGAGTAAGCGTAAAGTAATGAAATGTATTCCCTGTGAGAGCATTGAAAAGTGTTGTGTTCTTAATAGTTCCCCAATCAACATCATCCTGTGGAATCCAAAGTCTTGATAATGCTTATCACCTGTTCAGGAATTCAGGCTTCATGTGGTTCGTATGAGAGTTCAGCTTGGATTTGAGCTTGTAAGCCTCTAGCCTTTTGTTAATATTAAATAGGTAGTTTTGGAACTTAGCCATAACTCATCCAGTTATACCAGTAATGACAAGATATTACTGATTTAAAACTTTCTGTGGCTGAACTCAGAACATATCACTAGAATTGTCTTGGTATGCTCTTGTTAAGATAGAAACTAAATCACCATGGACCGTAATAGAGGTTAGGCTGTAAGAATTTTTTGTTTAAGAAATTTTTCATTATAAAGGTCTTATAATTCCTTGTTCCATAATGTAATTTATGGGCTACTGTTGTTTTTTTTATATTTATTTATTTATTTGGTCTGTGTAGTGCACCCTGTTGCTAGTGTTATTGTCAGTTTTGGGGGAAGCTTAAATGATTGGATAATCTGAAATATTTTGTATAAAATATTATTCAAAGAAAAAATTATTCAGATAACTTTAAAAATAACTCCAAAAGTAGCCAATATTTCTATTACTCATGAACACCTTAAAAAGTGTTCACAATTTCTGGATTTTCTTATTTGTAAGACAACAGGGTTGGATTTGATGATTTGTAAAGTTCTGTTCAGCTATAAAATTTTTAGTTACAATGATTTTTATTAGAGGTGTGAGAAGCATGTAGACTGTGTAACCTATGTATCTTTGATTCATGGCACCATAGAACTTTCAGACCTGAAATGGCTTCAGAGAACTTCTTTTTTACTCTTCTTCCCTTTTGCAGAAGAAGAAATTGGGGACTAAGGAGATTTTGAGGTTCAAAATTGCAAAATTGTTGGAGAACAAACTATTTTCTCCTGATTTACAATTTCCCCCAGTATTTATGGTACATGCAGTCTTCTAACTCACATGAAATCAGGAGAAATGGTTGAAAATTAGATTTGAAAATAAATTATATTACTCATTTAAACAGGGAAACCCAACTATTATTAATGAATATTTGAAATAACAAAATTCAAGTTAATGGATGATTAATGATGTTAATTTCTGTTTTTAGTGCTTTTTAAAAAAATGTGTGGACTTTGAAATTTAAGATTGTATTTTGAACAAATACTAGAGTTTGTAAGTTTGAATGAATGTAGGCCTATTCAAGATTGTCTCAAGAACTTGTTTCACATTCTTTGGCGCATATATAAGTAAATTAAAGGAGGACCTTAATTCATTTTGATAATATTAAATATCTACTTTGTACCAGGCACTGGGAATAGGGGTATTTATATATTTTGTTTGTTTCACTGAAAGATAAAAATCCCTGCCCTGGTGAGGGTTACATTTTAATAAGGAGAGACAGATAATAACAGTATATCTTTTTTTACCTTACTATGTTAGGGGGTGTTAAGTGCTATGGGAGAAAAGCCCTTTAGGGAGGGGAATTGGGAATGCTGGAGCACAGAGAAAGTGGGTTGCAAAGTGGTGTTTGCAGCACTGATAAGTCGAATTTCGAGCAGACCAGGAGATGAAGGAGTCAGACTTGTGGAAATGTAGTGGGGAGAGATTTGAGGAACATTAAGATCTGTGCGGCTGGAGCAGTTTGTATGGGGCAGAGCGGGGGTGGGGGGTGATGTTGGATGTTAGAGCAGATGAGGTCTGAGTTTTGAGGTGTAGAGATGGGCAAGGGTGGTGGGTGTTGAAAAGATACTGGAGTTTTATTCCAGTAGAGAAATGGAAAACCACTGAAGGATTCTGAGTGGTATGATAGACCTAGTTTCTGCTCTCTCATAGGGTCTTATTGCAACATTATAATAATTATTTTTAAAGCAGTTTTAAAGACAATAAAACCCATATTATAGGTTTCTTTATCATACATCTTCTGTTAGTTTTGGATTCTGTTTAAGATGATAGTCAATAAAAACTAGTTGACCTTTGAGTTTACCTAGTTAAAATACCACAATATACCTCTTTCATAGATTGCTTTGAATATATTCTAGTAGTTTGTGTATACCTAATGTAGTTTAGTGGTAGTTTAATGATTATACACAGGAAACTTGGCCCTTGAGGAGAAAGGAGGATATTAACATTTATTGAGAACATACCGTCTGCTGGTTAGACAGTTTACCACTGTTATTTAATTTAATCTCCACTCCAGTTTGTGAGATAGGTATTGTTACCCCCTTTAAAAATATGTGGAAATGAGTGTTTATTGATTCTAAATGATATGACTTAGGGTAAAGAGCTAATATGTGGCAGAGCAGGGATTAGAAGGTTGGTTTCTCTGGTTACACACTTTGCCCTTCCTCTTTAACCCAAAGCCCTCTAAAAATACCCAGCAGGCACCCTGGGTGTAGGTGTGGAATTTTTGATTAGTTTCACTCTGGTTTCTTCTTTATATTAAATCGTTGTTTCTGTATATGATCAAATTGATTTAAATGTTTAAGTTAATTGAAAAATTAAGACTTCTTTTACATACAGTAAAACAGTTGAATGTAAAATTAACTCATTGTGGTAGTGGTTTTCTTTTTAAGTTTTAAGACAGCTGAGCTCATTTGAGTCAAGTGGCTGTTTTAAGTATGGCCTCATAGGTTGGGTCCAGCATAATGAAAGTCTGTGAGAAATCCCCCTTTCAAGTTTCAGTATGTGATGTTCAAGTTGTGATAGTGTTAACCATAGTATTTGATAAAGAGAAACAGTTCCAAATAGGATTCAGTTGCTCTGTGGACCAGAGCAAGCTCTTGAATAACGTGCTATCTAGTTTACCTAGTCACTTCAGGTCTATACCCCTTACCTAAGAAAAATCAAAAAATAGAAGGGAAAAGAACACCAATGCTTTAGTGGTGTTTTAGATGCTTATCTTTTATCCCTTTGTTGAACTGATTTATATAATTAGTATCTAATCAGTGATCAGGTACTAATTTTTACAGTGCTTGTTTACACTGTAAAAAATTAAGAGATTTACTTTCGAAGAATTCTAAGAACTTTAGAAAAGACCTCTTGCATTATACTTCTGAATCTCAACACCGAACATAGTGTTCAGCAAAAGAGATAAGTTGACATGGCTCATTTTTTGTTACATTTTTTATTTCAATAAACATTGAGTGCTTATTTATTATTCATAGAATTCTAATATTTTTGGATTTAAAATTTGAGTAGTTACTCATTTATTCTCTTTTTGAAACATATTGCATGACAATTGAATGCTAACCGTTATCATAAGTTCTTTAACTGTGGAACTTAAAAATCTCATTTAATTCTTTATTCTTCGTTAGTAGTCTTTTTGAAGTTTGATTTTCTTTTATTTAAGACCAAGATATATATAGAAAGGAGAAGCAAATTTAAATTTGTTACCTCAACTGCTTGTTAGAAGTTGAAGCAGTAAGTTTAGGAGAATCATTTGAAATATGATAGCTAAACCAAGTATTTTAAAGAGGCCATTTCTATCCTATTATCGCAGATAATCAGAAATTAGCAAAACTAATGGTTTTTAATAGTCAAGACTGTCTTCTGTAAACCAAAATCAAAACAGTCCATTTACAGTTGTAGTCATCTTTTGAATAATCTGGTAATTCTATGGATGGGGAAGAGAGAATCCTTTAAATTTCCTCTAACAGAATAATTTTTTAGAATCTGTAAGAAAGTCCTGGCTGGTGTAGCTCAGTTGGTTGGAGTGTCGCCCCGTAACCAACAGGTTGAGGGTTAGATTCCTGGTCAGGGTGTACACCTAGTTTGGGGTTTGGGAATGCATTTCTCTCTCATTGATGTTTCTCTTTCTCTCTTCCTCTTCCTCTAGAAGCAATAGGGGAAAAAAGTGTCCATAGGTGAGGGTAAAAAAGAAAAAAAATCTGTGAGAAAGTCCTTTAAAAATATAGAAAACAAGTTTGGATCTTAAAGTATACTTTTTGAAATGTTATTTTTCCTGTTGAATTGCCATCATATAAAACATCACTGGATATAATAATTGTATATTCCATATTTGACTTGGTGTAGTAAGGAGTGTGGTACTTCTTAGAATTCATTTTAACTGTCATTCTGAGTGTAGAAGGTTTAGAGATGGATGACGAGAGCCTGAATACGGGCCTAACCCTAAATAATTATTGTAAACTGCAGCTCATCATTTAAAAGAATACATGGAAGGGTTTTGTTTGCTTAATATTTGAAATTGTATACATTCGCTTATATTTTGGGGCCATAACTGTACATGTATTTGTATTTTCTTCTGAGTTTCAGGTTGTCTCATTGGAAAAGGCAGCCCTGACTTTCAGTGCCTTCCAATTTGCCACCTCTGCACATTTAAAACTATAGATTATGTCATTAAAAAAAAACAGAATGACAGGACTACAAACACATGTTTTTTCCTGTTGAATTACTTATCTTAGAAGTAACTTATGGCCTGGTCCTCTTCTCCCTCCCAAAAACTCTACAGGGAAGTCCCATCCCTAAATTAGCTATTTTAGTTAGATTGTGATGGAATTCTTAGTGGAAAATTCTAGTCAGGATGCAAATTGTTTACACTTGAAAGGAGGAAGGTTGACTGATTGCTTATTTAACTTTCCATAAAAATGTGAAGAAATATTGCTACAGTTCATCCCCTTGTGCCCTCCCCCCCACATATGCTCCCAGTACACATATAATTTAGTTAGTGGTTGCACTTTTGCCCTTTTCCCCCCTGTTTTGCTTGGTGACAATGTAGACAGAATAAATGGAAAGACCATGCCTTTAAATTAGGCACCAGGCTCTACTACTTTTTAGACGAGTCTGTTGTCTTGAGATAAATTGAGCTCTGAGCCTTAGTTTCTTCGTTGGTAAAATGGAATCAATGATAACCACCTTGCATAGTTGGCACACAGTAGGAGCTCAAATACATGTTAGCTGGTAGTTTTCTGATTATGGTTGTTAATATTTTTTCTTTACCATTTGTACAAAATGACTTTTTTCTCTGGAATATTCTTCATGGACTTGTAAAGAGCACTTACTATGTGCTAGTTACAGTTCTAAGAGTTTAACTTGAAATCATGTAACCTTCACACACTGTTTACAGATGAAGAAGTTGAAGTACACAGAAATCAGAGATTAAGTAATTTTTCCAGTCTCACAGCAATGAAGAGGCACAGTAGGATTAAAATCCTGCCTGTCTGGCTTGAGAGTCTGCACTCTTCACTAATCATATACCTCATATTGCCTGTCTAGAAGGGAAAAGCATTTCTAGCTCTTCCTGCTTAGGTTCTTACCCTGGCTTTCTTGTAGAATTTTGCTGCTAGATGAAAGTGTTCTCTAGAAGTAGGTAGTCTTGTTAGAGTTCAATTGATTTTTCCTGTACTTCTGACTTCAGACCTGTAATCTACAGAAAGGCTTTTTATAAATGAATGGTTTGGGATATTGTAACATTTGGCTTTATCTGCTGAATACTGTGTATCACACATGGAAAGTATGATTTTCTGGTCTTAAACTAGCTCTTTTAAGTTTCGGGTGAACTGTTAATTATATGGAAAATACATGAGAATCAACATACAGAGCTTTCAGTGAGAATTATGGGTGATCATTACAGTGTTTTGATTTTTAAAACATTGCCTTTTGTAAGCTATATTCATCAACTGAGTCAGAAAATTAATTACTTTAAAATATATAAAGACCTTGGTGTCTTCCTATAAGTTCAGACTGAATTCGAAACTTAAGGGTGGGGAGATGAAAATTTAGAATGATAGATGATAAAATGGATCTTAATTTTTTGCCTTTAAAATATCACCCATTAAAATTATTTCATTTGAAATTGTTAGGACTTAGTTAACTAGAAAATTATTTCCTGTGTTTATTGTTTTTCTTGAGAGAAATATTTATATGAAAAATTTCTTTATGATCATTTTTTTTTTTAGTATAGAACAAGCTGAATCTCTGATCACAATAGACTTTGTAGATTCAGTGATAAAATATACTTGACCACTTTTATGATTCTTGGCTACATTCAAAGTATTTGTCTGATTTTGACCACTTTTATGATTCTTGGCTACATTCAAAGTATTCATCTGATTTTTCCCCCTAGATAATATATTATTTTAAATGTGATTTTTACATTTCTTGGGTGAAAAAAATTGCAAGCATGTGGTAGATTTAAGTATTAAATAATATGTATTGATAACCATGTATTTTACTTTGGAAAGATGAACAAATAAGTGCTTTTTTACTCTACAGATTATAGTAGTATTTCTAACTTTAGTAATCTTTGATGCAGTTTTAATTAGCTCTCTACTAAAAGACAGAATTTCTTTCCTTCCTCACTTCCTTTCTTCCTCTCTCCCTCTCTTCCTCCTCCCTTCCCTTTATTCCCTAAAATAAAAATTAACCAATATATCCTGTATTATACACATTTTACATACCAATATTGAATTTCCTTGAAAATATTATGACACCTAGTTTTCACATTTGACTATTGAATATTATATTGCCTAATTTTATTTAATGACCAGTCTGCTTCCTTTTAAATTTGTCATTGTGTGGGCCAGGTCAAAGATTTTGAGGTTCTCAGATATGTTGCTTATCCCACAGAACACTGTAACTGTTTTCTGAGAGATTGGTACTGGGACTTGTGAGGGGGAAGAGTAATAGTGGGGAGGTTGACATTCCACAGGAGACTAGTTTGGGTGGGCAGGAAGGGTCCTTGATACTGGGAGAGTCATTTGCTTAGGGCTCAGGTCAGATGAGAAATGATTCAGTGTCAACACAAAGCAAGTGAGAAGAGCTTACTACAGTAGAGAGGCTGTTTGGAGAGAACCTGTGCCAGGCTCGGGCTAAGGGAAAGAGGTGATTCAGGGGACAGAAGGGAGAATCCTATTAAAAATTACCTTGGTTGGAAGGATGTACAGTACTTGTTCGTATTTCAGGGTCTTTGATTTGAATGAAAATATGAAATTTTATTGATAATTATCCTCATTCATGAACACCACCAGGAGAAATGTAGAATACTCCTGTTGCTTTCTCACATTTGCTAAAAACAGCTAGAAAGCAAGAGGGTAGGGCTAGGAGGAGAAATGTATCCCAGTGTGTTTTAGGACTGTGACAAACACCTGTTACTCTTACTGTAACCCAGGGTCCTTTGACTATTTTGGCTGGCTAGAAAATGTCACCTTCTTCCATATATTCCTTGTGTGCATATCCCTTTAGAACTCTGTGCTTGGTCAAGGTTTTGGAGTAGCTTACTTCCCTTCTACAGCCTTTGTACATGCTTCAGGATCCACTTTTAGAAGTACTGCAGGATGGTGGAACTTCCTTTACCTTGGTTCTAGTTTCTTTTCTAAAATGATACTAGATTTTGTGTTTTAGATTATTAAAAAATTTGTGTTACTGATTAATAGTAGACCAAAAATACATCTTGAGCTATAATGTTTCAGTATTTTGTAAGGAAAAAGAATTGCTGAGAATGATTAGTTAGGCATATAGAAGTACTTAGTCTTCTGTGATTTTACTTAGTTTTTCAGTTTATTTTCTGGTTTCAATAGAACAAGTTGAAATCATCGCAGAAGGATAAAGTTCGTCAGTTTATGATCTTCACACAATCTAGTGAAAAAACAGCAGTAAGTTGCCTGTCTCAAAATGACTGGAAGTTAGATGTTGCAACAGACAATTTTTTCCAAAATCCTGAACTTTATATACGAGAGAGTATAAAAGGATCATTGGACAGGAAGAAGTTAGAACAACTATACAATAGATACAAAGGTGAGTGCTTACTTGTATCTTTAAATATTTTGAACCAAGTGTTCTAAAGTTACACGCTTCTTGTGAAAAATAATATATAGAACATGGGTATTTGTATATGTATGTGTAATGCATAGAACATATGACATGGGAGGACATCTTAACAGCTCTGTAGATCTTAGAATTGCTTCAAAAGATTTCAGAGAAATTATTTTCCTCTTTCCATTAAAATTTCTTCTTAGCCTCTTTATTTCCTCCCCTTGGTTCCCCCATGTTTTTCCTCCCCCATGATCAAAATTGAGAATGGTGCCCGGTGGGAGGGGGTGTTTTTTCCCCCTTATTTAATAAAAAACTTAGCTGAGATGGTTTTAAGAAAACCTACATGAAGCCCTGGCTGGTGTAGCTCAGTGGATTGAGCGCGGGCCTGCAAACCAAAAGATCGAGGTTTGATTCCCCGTCAGGGCACATGCCTGGGTTGCAGGCCAGTTCCCAGCAGGGGATTCCCCAGAAGCAACCATACATTGTAAAAAAGAAAAGAAAAGAAAACCTACATGATATTTTTAATAATCTTGAAAGAACTTAAAAATAATATATACTTTAAAATATTTAAATAATACATAATAGACGAATAAAGAAAAAGTTAATAGTTTTTCTATCTGCTCCTTATGTATTTTGAGGGAACCAATATTTAATTGTGGTGTGGAGCCTTCCATGTCTTTTATGTTTATATAGAAATAAGTGTACAGAGTTTTAAATTTTTTTTCAAAAACAGGATATTTTATGCATAACTCAGGCCCCCAAATCAAAAAAGTCACTTTTTTATTGCTGTAGATGTTAGCACATCTCATTTGACAGCAGTGTGCGAGTGCCTCTTTCTCCTTGTATTTGTCATTACTGAGGACTTTGGCTTCTAAGTCAATATTGATGGTGGTTTTCTTTAATTTAAACAGCAGATAGTTAATGTTATTGATGTTAGGATTGCATTGCTGAGTTTATGGTCTTTCTGATACTCTAAACAAGTGATTGTTGTGGTAAAATGAACTTTGTTTTAAGGAAAAAAGAATTTCTGTATCTAATATTGTTAATTTAGAATGCCTACTTAAAGAAAATACGGATAGGTTCAGTAAAAATCCTTTATCCCTTATACAGCAAGGGTGTCAGACTCATTTTCACTGGGGGCCACATCAGCCTTGCAGTTGCCTTCAAAGGGCTGAATGTAATTTCAACTCCTCAACATTTAAGGAGTAGTTACATTTATACAGTCCTAAAATTATTTCGGCCCTTTGAAGGTATCCATGAGGCTGATGTGGCCCCTGGCGAAAATGAGTTTGACATCCTTGCTGTACAGGAATGTCTGATTTCCTGAATGTGTGTGCGCATGGGACACGTTTCATACCAATAAATGAAACTTATCAAGTGCCCGTATGTATATACAGGGTGGTGCAAAAGTAGGATTGCAGTTGTTCCTTTGGAAAATAATACAATAATTAAGAAATAATAGTATAAGAATAAAATTCTGTGTTTCATGTACTTAGAACTATAAACCTCCTTTTGCTCCACCCTGTATGTTTTCCTGTTCATCTTAAAAGTGCTGTTTTGAGGGCAAAGTGGCTTTGAATATTATAGGGGAAAATGTTAGTAGTATTGCTTTATGTTTTGGGTCTATTGAGATCTTTTTTAAAGGAACATAACATATTAACTTTTTAAGTTTTAGGAATAGCATAATAAACTATGGCATTAATTTAATATTGCATTGTTATTTATAAAGATCCTCAAGATGAAAATAAAATTGGAATAGATGGTATACAGCAGTTCTGTGATGATCTGGCACTTGATCCAGCCAGCATTAGTGTGTTGATCATTGCGTGGAAGTTCAGAGCAGCAACACAGTGCGAGTTCTCCAAACAAGAGTTCATGGACGGCATGATAGAATTAGGGTGAGTATATAATTTCCACAGGAAATTAGGTATTTACTGTGTTACTGTGGAACTGAGTTATGTGAAAAATTTTTTTGAATGTAAATTTACACATTTAACCAGCTCACAAACATTGTTATAAATAGAAATGGGCTAATATGCTAATTCCTTCCCAGTGTTATCCAGTTCTCTGGGTTTGTCAAGTTATCCGTATAGTTGGTATAGCCTATTCCATTTGTATTGTACCTTTTCCATTTCTTTCTAAGGAAGGTTCTCCAGTATTAAACTAAATTACTGTGCTTTAATATTTAACATGATAGTGAAATGAGCAAGTTTGAAGTTATTTTATAATGTGAGACTGGAAATTCTGAATTTATAAACAAATTCCTAGAATTTAAAATCTTGGAAGTTACTAATAATTTTTTGTACAGTTAAATCTTGACAGCTGGTTAGCTGAGTGTCTTGGGATGAATTGATTGAAAAGTCATGGGTAGAGGTTTTGCCTGTGGCCTCTAGTTGTCTGTATTTAATGAGGCTGCAAAAGTATTCGGTCTGTGGATAGGTAACTGGCTGTCCTTTGTTTTTAGTGGCTAACATTTGTTGAACATTTATTTTATTTCAGAAACTGTGCTAAGTAAGTACTTCATCTACCTCTTCACAGTAACTGTGAGTGAGAAGTAGTGCTTACATCCCCATTTTAGAGAGGACACTGAAGTGCAGAGAACTAGAGTTAGGTAGTAGTAGAGCCAGGATTTGAACCCACACATTCTGCACTTGAGCCTGAGGGACATTGTAATTAGGGTCCAAACAAGACATGAAAACATATCAGCAATTTGAATTGGGTAAATTTAAAAGATTGCTTTAGTGTGTGCAAGGGGTAAACAAAAACTTTGAGGTATAACAGAGGTGGAAGTTACAAGAAACCCACACCACCCCTTGAGCTGAGGGAAGTGAGTAAGGAAGGAATGTACAAACTTAAGGGATCTCAGGGCAGAGGGTGTGGCTGCTGCAGAAAGCAATGCCTGTGGTACCTGCCTCAACTGCCACTCTGATGAAGAAGGAACTGGCTAGAGGCCATTTGCTGCAGGGCCATGTCAGTCGTTGGTGAGCACTGGTGGATGGGACCTTCCAGCACACTAACACCCTTGCTTGCTCTCTGCTAGAAAACAAACTGGGATAAGAAAAGTTCCTTCTTCCCTCTGTCAGTGTTTCATTGCCCTCTATTGGTAGAACCTAACAGCGAGCCAACTGGCAAGAAAAATGAAATCTCACAGTTGAAGTCCACTGCAGATGGTCACAGTTTAGGGCAAAGAAGGGTGAGTTTAAAATTGAGAGGCAGCACATTAATAACTGGCCTAGACAATATGCTATACAGCCAAAGCCTGCCCCATCCTGAACTTGCCAAATTTTTATGTGAGGACAGATGTCATTAGAGCTAACTTTTTTTTTTTCACTTGAAACTGAGTTTATGTACCATGTGATGAACTTCCTAATCAAAATTTTAATTTACAAACTAATGATCTGGGAGATGGAAGAAAAACAGGAATGATTGGTTTTGTGGAATCTAAAAAATAGAATATTTCTACCTTAAGTAAGATGTGGTACTTGGACCCTTTCAACTCCTTAGAAGTTGAGTGCTTTGCAAAATATAGAAAAAGCTTACTGTGGATTTGAAATAATTCAGCTGGAGATGGCAGGAGGCTCACCTGATTTTTATTATCCTTTGTATATAATAAAAAGTAACTTTTCAAGAGGAATGCATTCTCACTTAAACTCTTTTCAGTTAGATTGGAAGCTAGCCATGTGATTTTTTTTTTACCATCTAAGGAGTATCTACTACAGGTTTAACTTGTGATTGTTGTTGATTACGACAGATTCTCATCTATTCATGGCAGCTGACTTGTACGATTCAGATGTGCTAGTAGTCCAGCGAATCGTGTAATTAAAAGTAATAGCCCATTTCTTTAAAAATAGTCATTATTTCTAACATCTAATCACTCCAGACCTTTTCTTTCTCCAACTAAACCCATACTTGTTTATGTAATATAAGAAGAGAAATTTCAACTATCTGATTTTTAAAAAGAAGTTCTATGAAATAAATATAAGCTATCATAAGTCCTTAATTTATAGTGAAAAAGTTTATTTTTTATAAACTTAATTTTACAATGTAGATGTGACAGCATAGAAAAACTAAAGGCCCAGATACCCAAGATGGAACAAGAATTGAAAGAACCAGGACGATTTAAGGATTTTTACCAGTTTACTTTTAATTTTGCAAAGAATCCAGGACAAAAAGGATTAGGTAAGAATTTTTAAAAATTATATTTGGTGTTTCAAATACATTCAAGTACATTGACAGTGTCACTTTTGTTTTGTAATAGAAAGTTATGTGTTTTGAGCATAAAATATGAAAATACCAGTTCCTGAAAAACCGAAAAATGAACTTGCGGTTACTTGGAAAAGACTGAACATATTCAGTAATAGGGTTGATTACCCTGGATAACATGTGCGGACCACTGATTTTATTTTTAAAGAACCCTACAGAAAATAAATAGTTGTTAAAAATTCCCGACATACGTATGTACATTTGTTTGTTTATTTTCCAAAAGATATTGTAGGATTTTAGGAGCATAAATTATTTCACTCTTGGTCTGTTGAAATGGCATCATGGGAGGTCTGAGTTGGAGAATGCCAGATAAATCTAGTCTTCCTGATTATGACTTATTTGGAAATTAAAAGAACTGAAAAGATGATTACTTATAATCTTATCCAGAAACAACTACTGTTAACAATTCAGATCAATCTGTACTGCACGTAATATCCATACGTTTGCTTTGGGGGATGGCTAGGGGATACAGAAATAAAAGCTACTGTGTAACTTACAGTTTACCCAGAAAGATTGGACAGTAGCAGATAATAACAAAAATAGTGTGTGTGAGAGTTTTAGACAAAAGTAGAAATACATAAAAGCGGTAATGCGGTAATACATAAAGCGGGAAGCGGTTGGGTCATGCTTCCTGGGCCAGATGGGATGTGAACTAAAAGGTTTGCTTTGGCTGAGTGAGGGAAGAAAAAGTTGTTCCAGTTGTGAATGAAGGTCCGAAACTTGAGAAATATACTTGGCTTTGTGGAAGCAAGAAAATGTTGACTTTAGTGGGAATGCTTGTTTGGAGATTAAATTGGTGAAACATTAAGGCTCAGTAACCACGGGCTTCTTTTTAAATACAGGATAGAAAGATTTAAAGTCGAATTTCTGGGCAAAGGGTCGCACTGAAGATTTTGATGATGGCAGTAACTTTCATTTAATATGAGCTTTCGGTATGCCTGGCAATGTGCTAAGTAATTTTTACATACACTGCCATATTTAATGTGTAATAATTTTATGAGTTTTCATTTTTTCATTCAATAATTCGCTACCTGCCATGTGCCAGGTACATAATAATAGAGTGCTAGCCATTTTTTATCCTTACTTTGCGGATAAGGAAACTGAGGCAAAGGTGGGTTAAATAACTTACCCAACAGTTGAGTGAGTTTGTTTTTGATTTTGAATATAAAGTAATTGGAGAGGCTAATAGGGGCCTTTTGCACTAATCCTTCTTTATATTTTAGATTAGGTGAGGAAAGCATTGAGAAAAGGATTATGTGAATAAGGTTTAGACTGAGGAAATGTTTGAAAGCTGGTGAGGAAGGGATGAATGTGTAACATTTGGGGAATTGGCCTAAAGAACAACCAAACATGAAACTGATTAAAGATTCACAAAATATCTGTAAAGCAAAATTCTAAACAATGAAGCCTCATTTCCCACTCAACCATTCAGTTTAGGTTGGATATTCTTACAGAAAAGTTTCTCATTTTGCAGGCAAAGTAAGCCAATATACCCTAGGATGGGTTTCTCTGTCTTCTGTGGCACCAGTTTATTGGCCTATTTTTTCTAGTTTCCTTTTTTCCCACAAATAAAAATAGTCTTTAATTACAGTCTTTAATTTATATGTATATACTAAAAGAATTATTTTTGTTACATTTAGAAATGTAGCACAATATTTTGGTAAGATTAAACAAAATTTAGTGAATATCAGTGGTGATTTAAAGGGATTGACTCTATTTCTTAGTTAGATCCCTAGGCCCTTACTGGAGTACAAAATAAATTATATTTTTTGGTGAATATATAGTTTTAATGTTTAATCTTAGGTTTTATTATAGGGTGAAATGAAAGTAAAATTAAATTTTACATTAATACGGTAAATTGGAATTTTAGATTAAAGGAAAAAATGAGAAAAAGGTTATGCATAGAATTAAGATTTAAAATTGTGTTTATTTTATCTAATAAGTATTAAGCTTAAAAAATGTAATTGTTTAATGGGTATCAAGTTTTGTTTTGCAAGATGAAAAGAGTTTTGAAGATTAGTTGTATATCAGTGTGAATGTACCTAGCTACTAATTGCACACTTAAAAATGGTTAAGATGATAAATTTCATGTTATGTGTATTTAACCACAGTTTATTTTTATCTTTACCTGAGGACATTTTTTTTATTGCTTTTAGAGAGAGAGGAAGCGGCAGGTGGGGGTGGGAGGGTTAGAGAGAGAGAGAGAGAAACACTTGGATGTGAGAGAGAAACATAGATTGGTTGCCTTCTTGCACATACCCAGACCAGGGATCAACCTGCAATCTGAGTATGTGCACTGACTGGGAACTGAATGCGTGACCTTTTGGTCTGTGGGTCGACATTCCAACCAACTGGAGCCACACCAGCCAGGGCTAACCACAATTTTAAATTTCTTTTTAACCACCCCCCCCCCAAAAGAAAACATAGAATATACAACACAAAGTAAGCTCTAGTGTAAAATATGGACTGCAGTTAATGATATATCCATATTGGCTCATCAATATTTTATAAAGATTTTATTTATTTTTAGAGAGGAAGGGAAGGAGAGAAATATCCATGTGTGGTTGCCTCTTGTGAGTCCCCTGCTGGGAACTGGCCTGCAACCCAGGCATGTGCCCTGACTGGGAATCAAACCACGATCGTTTGGTTTGCAGGCCCCCGCTCAATCCACTGAGCTACACCAGCCAGGGCTTGGCTCATCAATTTTAAGAAATATACCATACTAAAGCAAGATGTTAAAAAATAATGGAAATGATGGGCAGGGAGGGAGAGGTATATGGGAACTGTCTGTACTTTTGCTCAATTTTTCCATGAACCCGAAGTTAAAACTAAGAAAAGTCTTAATTAAAAAAAAAGAACTGTAATAAAAGTAAACCATAATTTCTCTTTTTGTTTTGCTTTGGCGCTGGGTGTCAGGAAATGTAATGACTTGCTTAGCTGAAGAACTTAATTAAAAAGAAAACAGTTTTCTTCACAGCCTTTGTAAGGGTTTACAGGGCTCATATATTAAAGTATGTGATAGAAGATCACACACTTAAGAGTGATCACATACTGTCGCTCTTTGGAATTAGAAGATTACAGGAGAGGAGGTGTGGCCCAGAACAAATTGACCAAGAGCGACAGTGACAGCCCTGTGGTTGGTTTATAAATAGTTGTGCTGGTGGTACTCAGAGCTGGTGTGTGCCTTTTTTTCCCTCATTTTCTATAACCTTATTTCTCGTGGCACTACGATAGGATGCTTCCTCTCTCACCGTCTGCGTCAGTCACCTGCCATTTCTGAATGGCAGTTCTCTGAATCTTAAATTTTTGAAAGGAACTTCATAAATCCTCTGTTAAATCTAACCAGAGTAGTATTTATCCATACATGATGTTCATTTAGCTTTCACTTTTGACTGTAGAGGGATTGGACACAGTGGTCTGTTTTCTTCACAGGATAGTCTTACACAGTTCTTCCTTATTAAGCTAATATCTTTGTGTTTATAACTTTTATCATTTGTCTTCTACTACAGCCCAGAGGAAGTCTAACTTTAAAAGAGCACTATCGCTTACCCCTTCTCTTTTTTTCCAGGACAGTGTACCAATTATTTTAACTATTCATTTGAAGAGACTTATTATTCCTGTTACTGCCCCCCCAGACACATTTCCATTTTTGCAGTTTCTGTCCGAGCTCTTAAAGCTGAACATCATCTTGATCCAGAAGGAGGCTGTTTAATATAGAACACTGTGGGCCTCTATTTTCTTCTTCCCTCCCTCCCTCCCTTTTTGTGGGGTTGGTTGTTCTGTTAATTTGATTAAAAATTACATTAGTTTTTTTTTTCCAGGATTGTCATTTTTAGGACTACCCTGAACTTCAGTAAAGTCTGTAGGTTATTTTCTTACAAACTGTGGTTCAGTTAGAGTCCTATACTTGTGCAGTTGATTTAAAATTTTTAACATTTTTTGTTAAACATTTAATATTTAGAAATAATATTTAGTGTTTTTAAAGCATATTTTCATCTGTATAATCCTCTTTAATTTTTGTAACAAGCCTTTGAGCAAAGTACAAAGAAACCACTTATATTTTCATTAAGATGAGGAAAATCGTGATCAGTGAGGCTGACTTATTAAGGTCACCTAACTTTAGAATTATGGGACTCAACCTCAGATCTTCTGACTCCAATTTCTGTCTTCTTTTATTACAGTATGTTGTGCTAACTGTAGATATTTCTAAGTAGATTAAAGCATTTCAAATGGGATTTTTGATCACTATGCCATCCTCCCTAGTGAGTTGACAGCATTTTGTTTCCCTCAGGGACAGTGTTTGGATCCAATCTGAGTTCATTTTCATGTTCATCTGGTACTCAGTTGGTCATCTTTTATGAAATCCCACATTGCTCTGTTCATTCTCTTTGAAAGAATGACACATGGATTACCTTTGTTTGCATTAATTTTATTGTAAGGCCTTGAGGATTCATTCTATAAGTATCTCAGTTTTTTTTTACATTACTGTCATTAAGACCTGCTTGTCTTCTTTTATGTGTATTATTCTTCTGTACTAACGGCTTTTATTTCTGTTAATGAATTTGCTTTATTCAGTACTACTTCAGAATCTATAATAATTTTTTAAAGTATTAAAGATAAATAATATAGGACAGGCTGACAGGGACCAGAAGGGAGAGGGGAGGGAATTTCAGGGGAAAAGGGGAAGGATTCACAGGAACAAGTATAAAGGACACATGGACAAAAACTAAGGCGTGGGAGGGAGGTGGTGAGCACTTGGGGGGATGGGAGTAAAAGACAGAAAACTACTTGAACAATAATTAAATTAAAAAATCTTCTAAAAAAGATAATAGTAATGATGAGTCAGGCACTGTTCTAAATGTTTTACATGTATAAACTCATTTAATCCTTACAAACACCTTGTGAGAGTACATACCATTATTATTATTTTTTTACCTGAATTACAGAGAGGTGGATTCAGCTGCCTGAGATCATTAACTAGTCCTTGAGTTGGGATTTAAGAGGCTGAACTTCAGTGTTAAACCACTTCTCTAGCTAGGCTGTTCTTTGTGTCACTCAGACATCGCTGTCTAAAGGTCCTTTTTCCTATGCTTAATCTATGTGTTTCAACTCCTAATTTTAATTTATTAATCTTTTTGAGCATTCCTTTTTCACTTAATATTTATTGATTGCTCTACTCTGAGAGCATGATATCAGTAACATCTTAAGTCTGTGGGAGAGTTTGCCATGTCTCCACGGAGGTGCTTAATTTTTGAGCCTTGAAGAATGAATATACATTTTCAAGTACAAAAGAAAAAGAAGTCATCTCTAATGTGGAGACATTTGCAAGTTTAATTGCCCATATTTGAGGAACTGTAAGTTTATTTGACTAGAAATGTACTATTTGAAGGCAATAGGATATCTTGTAGATTAAAAAAACATTTTCAATAGATTTTATTTTTTGAACTGTTTTAGGTTTATAGCAAAATTGAACAGAAAATACAGAGGTTTCCCATATATCCCCTGCCTTCATACATGATTGACATCCTCTGCTCTCATTATGGACATCTGCTGCCAGTTGTACCTGCATTGACACATTATTGTCACTCAAAGTTCAAGTTTGTATTAGGGTTCATTCTTGGTGTTCTACATTTTAAGGGTTTTGACAGATATATAATAACATGTATCCACGGTTATGGCATCATACAAAGGATTGTTACTGCCCTTAAAATTTCATCTTAACCCCAGGCAACCATGAATTTTTTACTATCTCCATAGTTTTGCCTTTGCACAGTTTCACATAGTTAGAATTATACAGTATGTAGTCTTTTCAGATTGACTTCTTTCACTTAGTAATATTAATACACATTTGTTTTTCTCCATATCTTTTCATGGCTTGGTAGCTCATTTTGTTTTAGCACTAAATAACATTCCTTCATCTGGATGTACCACAGTTGTATATGTATTCACCTTCTAAAGAACATCCTGGTTGCTTCCAAGTTCTGGCAGTTATGGATAAAGCTGCTGTAAATATCCATGTGCAGGTTTTAGCGTGGACATAAGTTTTCAGTTCATTTGGGTAAATACCAAGAAGAGCTATTGCTGGATCTTTTCGTAAAGGCATGTTTAGTTTTGTAAGAAACTGCCAAACTATCTTCCAAAGTGGCTGTACTGTTTTGCATTCCCACCAGCAATGAATGAGAATTCCTGTTTCTCCATAGCCTTGCCAGCGTTTGGTGTTGTCAGTCAGTGTTTTGGAGTTTGGCCTTTCCAAAAGGTGTGTAGTGGTATCTCGTTTTAATCACTGAAGAATTTTAACATGGAAGTGATACCCAATTTATACGTCTGAAAGCTCCATCTGAAACTAGTGTTGGTCCTTTAAGAGGGAGAAACTAGTTATGAAGCTGTCACAGCGGTTTAGCTGGACACAAGGAGGACCCTAACATAGGCCTTGCCAGTGCAGATGGAGATGTTAGAATGAAAGAGCTTTGATTAGAAGTATGTGATGAGTAAGAAAGGAATTTATCTATGATTCTCAACACAGGGCATATTTAGAAATGGGGGAGGTGTTCTTTGGTTGTCATAATTACCGAGAGTTTCTGCTGACTTTAGGGGGATGCTAAATGTCCCCCAATGCATGGAACAGTTCCTCACAATGAGAAATTCTATTGAGAAACACTGTGGGAAGATGGCCTTTGTTGAGAGAGGAACAGTGGGTCTGTAGAGGTAAGATAATGAGTTAAGTCTACGCCCTGTTGAATTTGAGTTTTTTGTGGGTACCCATTTGAAGGTGTTGAGCATATAGTGTACAAAAAGGGAAGAGTTTGCTGCATCTGAGGGAAGTAGAAGTGGTTATTGCTGACATACACTGTTACAGAACACTGACATTTAACGCATGAATGGAGGAAGAAGAGCCTGTAGAAGCGAATAAGAAGGCCAAAGAGGAAGAGGAAAATCAGTAGTGTGCTTCATAAAGCCGAAAGAAGTGACAGTTCCATCCCAGAGGTCTGCTCAGTTCTGTCAAATATGGCAGAGATCCAAGTAAATTAAGGACATAAATGTGTTTGTTTGGCAAACAGAAGGCTCTGGTAACCCTCCAGAGATTTTTCTACTGGGGTGAGTTGCAGAGGTGGGCACTAATTTATAGAATTAAATAGTGTATGAGAGGTGAGGAAATGGGGCAGTGAACGTAGATTATAAAAAGTTCTCTTTTACAACCTGAACTTTCAAACATCATTCATGTGCATACCTACTCTTGACAGAGTCCTGTGTTAGGTGTTAGCTGACAAATGGGCGTGCCCAGGTGTCTCACGCTTTGCAGTTATTTGAATCTTTCATTGCTTTTTATTATTTTGTAAAAATTAGTTAAAAGGAAAAATGATAACACTAATAATAAGCTTAGTTCTTATATATTTAATGCATTTGAAGTTAAGAAGGAAATTATTAAGCATGTTAATAACAGCAGATCTTACTGAGCATGCTAATGCAGTTTTCCCTCACTTAAAGCTAGACATTATGTTTATTTAGTAAAGAAAAGAACAAAAGTAAGGAAATTAAAGAACCTGGAAGGAATATTAGGTATAAAGTTTTATAGACTGCAAAGATTAAAAAGAAATCGTGATTAGGAACTAGTGTCATTTCTAGTTCTATTAAAACATGGGGGTCTGAATTTGACTTTCAGGCATGTTTTAGGAACACATGTGACCGTAGAAGACTCCATGTAACAAGATTATCTTTGAAGGGGGGAGAAACAAGGAATGAAAGACCCAAGAGAGACTTTTTAAAGAGGTGATAACCTGCACTTGTTTCTGTATGGAGGGGGAAAGCCAAAGGGGGGATACCTTTGTAGGAAGGGTGGAGAACAGCTTAGTAGACAATAGACAAGATACCTTGGAAGAGGCAGAATAGTACTGGTCCAGAATAGTGGATTGGGCTTGCCTTTGGATAGGAAGGAAAAAGGGCACCTTTTCCACTGAGTTTGAAGGAAGAAATAATGATAGATTTGAAGGTAAGTGCCTTTGCATTGGAACCATAGGGAGTGCATTCATTCCGTATCTCAATGCTTATTGTGTGCTTCAGGCTGCTAATTCAGGTGTAGGTAGTTCCTAAAAGAGGTTGAAATCCAGTGAAGAAGGAGGATTTTTTTTTTTTTTTTACCTTATGGCCTTTTTATATTTCTCTTTGAGGTAGGATGTGAGCTCTTTTGGAGTCTTTTCCTAGTCTTTCATGATTCCTCAGATTGTCAAGAGCAGTTTAGAGAGCATATCAAAAGGACTTTTAAGTTACTTGGGATGTAATTTTTCTGGGCCTGGAGATGCAAATTTACTTATAAAAGCTTGATACTTTCTAACTACTTCAGTTCCTGGCAGGAGATTGTAGGTCTTTTTCTCTGTCGTTTGACTGTAGGAGGTCTTTGTCATGTGGGAGTATTGCTTCTTTACCCTTCTCTGCTCCAAACCTAATTAAATAGTCATTATATCATTTCATCACATTTTAAAACCTTAGTTTATTATTAATTTTTAATTTTTAAATAAAAATTCTTAATAGTTCCTTGAGGACAGGATCAGACAGCCAGTATCTTGGAAGATTGGTTAGGATTGTGGGCAGCACTTCTTTGCATTACAGTCTGTAGGTGTACATTAGTGGTTCTCAACTGGGAGCAGTTTGCCCTCTCAGGAAACATTTGGCGGTGTGTGGAGACATCTGTAGACATCTTTGGTGGTCACCACTGGGGATAGGTTGGAGCTGACACTGGCAGCTAGTGTTTGGAGGTCAGGGATGCTGCTGTTGCTACAATGCAGAGGACATCCCTCCACAATAAAAAGTTACCGGGATTAAAATGTCAAAAGTGCTGGGTTGGGAAACACTGGTGTGCAGTAAACCAGCGTCTGAGTACGTGTGAACTAGTCACACTTGCTTATTTACATTATCTAATGGAAACTTCAGAAACACCCTGTGAGGTAAGTGGGACTCTTCTTGCCCTGAAGGTATACTGTTCATTGGTGATGGAGCCAGGACACAACCTTGGGCTTCTTTCTTTAGGAAAGTTTTAATATGTAAGTATTCAGGGCACAAGTGGGTTTTTTTTTAAAGGCTATCTTTGGTCTTTCTTTTAAAGGACAAGTATTTATGGCATTTAAAATACATGATTTATTTTTAATATTACAGATCTAGAAATGGCCATTGCCTACTGGAATTTAGTACTTAATGGAAGATTTAAATTCTTAGACTTATGGAATAAATTTTTGTTGGTAAGTTCATGTTTTCTACAGTTCCTTGTTTCCTCTAAAATTTTGTTTTGTTTAAAAATAAATTACTCTTTGAAAATGTGACGGATTCATCTCAGAGCATGTAATGAACATAGAATGAGAAATTTAATTATCAGAATTTCTGTACATGAGTTTTTCTGCATTCTTGTATTTAGCATCATCTGGACTGTTTTTATGAAACACTTTTTAGTGATTTGGATTTTTTTTATTAAATAGGAACATCATAAACGATCAATACCAAAAGATACTTGGAATCTCCTTTTAGACTTCAGTACGATGATTGCAGATGACATGTCTAATTACGATGAAGAAGGTAAATGTCCTTCCTGTTTTGTTTTTCACCTGCCTCCTTCTTTTCTATACGTTGGAACCTCTTGTCTACTTCTCCTTTTCTTGGTTGGATTTCCCTTTTCTGAGCTTTTATTTGTGTTCTTCCCAATGTGTGAAAAGCCTTCATCCTCTTCACCCATCTGTGTTATTCTGTTACTTTAAATACCAACTTAGTATTCATGTCTTCCAGAAAGGCATGAGTAATTGTGATCCATGTTTGAGATTTTTAGTTTATTTTAGGAAGCTATCCTCTTAGGAAAGTACTTTTATACTTAACATGTATTTATTATTTGTCTTGTCTGTGAACTTGATTAGTAAACTCCTTAAGTTTAGTGACTTGGTCTAACTTGAAATGTACTTCAGTTGCCTATCTATGGTAGTACTGTTGGCGTTCGATAAATACTGATTGAATGCTTTTGTCTTATTTCTTCATATAAAGATGATGCTACCATCTACCACCTGTTTTCCCAGAAGTGGCGGTGATTTACATTGGTTTCTTCACATATTCCTAGTCCCCCCCGCCCCCCGAGAATTAGCAAGATAAGTTTTTTGAGATTGTTGAATAGACAGAGGGAGTCTTTGAAAAAAATCTCCAGTGACCTTTTTTTTAAAAGTGAACTGGAGCCATTCAGTCTAACCAGAGATGATGTTATTTTATTCTCTTTATTTCAGTTCTAACAAATTGTAACTTTTTAGTCTTCACTAAAAAGTAAAAAATGTCTGCTCTTACATATGATTGGTAATTGTGCTATCAGGCCTTCCATGAAACTGAAGAACTTTCTGATTAGAGATTGGCATATGGGTGTATAGAGGCATGCATATGTACAATTTAAAACCACTTAGTAATCATCATGAAGTTGAATAGATTTTGATACTGGCTGTTAATTTTCTTTGTAAGATTTCCACAAAATACCTGAAAATTTGTTTCCTCCTACCTCTCTCCTCTGCTTTCAGCACTGACAGCATTCTCTTACAGCATGACCATTCCTTAGGCTGCTGGTTGGGACCAAGTTCTTTCAGTGGCCTGACTTCAGTGGCCTTCAGAAAACCATAATATTATTGATTGCTTACCAGGAGAGTTATTTTTATCATTCAAGGAATGATCAAGTGTTGGAATAATAGAGCAGAAAGAATATAAGAAATACCTTGGGTAGAAACTCTAAAAAGCTTGAATTTTGAGAGTCCTATGAGTGGAAATATTTAATTGTTGGGGAAAGATAAGTAAAAAGTAAAGGAATCTATTAAAATATTAGTCTTATTTCTGTTTTTCTTTCCTTTCTCCCATGTATTTCTCCCCCACTCCCCCCCAGGAGCATGGCCTGTTCTTATTGATGACTTTGTGGAATTTGCACGCCCTCAAATTGCTGGGACAAAAAGTACAACAGTGTAGCACTAAAAGAACCTTCTAGAATGTACATAGTCTGTACAATAAATACAACGGAAAATTGCACAGTCAATTTCTGCTGGCTGGACTGAACTGAAGATCAATCCTCGTAATTCAGACTGAGGGTTGAGACAAAACTTTGAGGATACATCTTGGACCATACCGTGTTTCATTCTTCTAATGGTGGTTTGGGCTTGTCTTCTAGTCTGGGCCACTCTAACCATTTATAATTCCAACATTGTGGATTTCATCTTATTTCTGTGGACCATCCTAGTTTATCCTCCCATAAGTCTTAGAAGCTTTATGGTGATTATTTTGAGGTTTCCACTCTTGGCATAAAGCACAATGCTGTCTTCATCAGAAAACAGTTTGGCATAAGAATTAAACATGAACATCACAAACAATTTATAAAAACTTCTTAAATATATGCTTTGGGCTAGTTGCAAAGACTATGCTGATAGCACTTCCGATGAGAGTGATATATTTAAGTGTACTGGATCTGGAATGGTGTTTTGGTTTGGGGGATTTTTTTTTCCTGGCAAATCACATGTATTGTTGACACGAGTAGAGAATCTGATGAAAAAATGTCAAAATTACCAACGCGAAAAATTTTGAGGATAACTTCATGTGCCTCCCTGAAAATTTCATTGTGTTTCAGACCCTTGATTTCAAAAGGTCCCACAGAACTAGTCTGTACTTTTCTTACCCTATGTTTATATATAGTTGTCCTACAGGGAGCTGTTACTTAGAAAATGTCTGCATAATGTTAGGTTCTATTCCTGTCTACATTATGCACTACATAATTGGATTTCATTATGATTTTGAAATGCTTATATGCCTGTTGAATAAGTTAAACTATTTAATTTGTTTTGAATGTTTTAGATTGCTACACAATACAATATTCTAAATTTAGGCATGAAAGTTTATTTTGGGGGATTTTTTTTTTTTTTTAGCGCACTATGGAACACAAATGAAATTCTCTTAATTTATAAGAAGATAGTAGGAATTAAATTTTGAAAATGGTCATGGTGAACCATGAAGTTCAATCCATATAGGTACTGGTCTTTCAGACAAATAGTCCATTTTTGATGACTTATTTTGTTGAAATTGCTTTAATTGCTAATCACTGTGGTTGCCAAATACTTCAGGAGCAGAGATTTTCAGGCAAGCATGTACTTGATTCAAAATACCAATCTGGCTTCTATTTTTTGTAAATTATTCAGTTTCTTTATTGTTTTTTGTTTCAAATATGACATTTTCACATCAAAGCAGGATTCTATCTTGTATGTATTATTTTCATTACAAGACCTATGAACTGCTTTTATGCTGAAAATGCTGATTTCCTTATTTGCTTCCTGACATGTGAAGGAGGGTTTATTGCTTTTTAAAACATTTCTGTAAGGTAGGTAAAAAAATGTAAAACTTGAAATATTGGATGTGTAAGGAATGGATTTTGCTTGGTGTATCCAGGCACTCTCTAAGGTTTAACGTTGAAATTATCAAAGGAATGTACTTCAGATTAGCAGTACATTTTAGACATGGAGATGATTTTAAAAACAATGACATATTAAAATTACTTTTTATTTACATGATTTTGAAATTGGGTAGGAAGGTTGGCCATAGATCTCCTATTAATATTCCAATCATAACTTCAAGAATACTGTTCTTCCAAGAGAAAATTTTGAAAGCTTATATTCAGGTTTCTGGAATTGGTTATTAAAAAAAAGAGAAGAAAGAAGAATCCTGCTGCTTTTCTTTCAAGTATTTCCTGATTTCATATTTGTTAATATAAAGAGGAATTTCAATTATGAAAACTTTAAAAATCTGTATGTATTATTTTGTTTTCTGTCTTGAAGATTTTGAGTTATGGTATTATTTTCAGATTAATTCAAGTATGCTGTGTTTTGAAATGAGATTCCCATTAACTTTTTTCCCCAATATAAATTATTTTTTATAAAAGTCTGATATTGGTTCATGGCCTAGTGCCTTGGGTTGTACAGACTTTTCCTTTTAAATGCAAGACCTTTCAACAAAATAGTATTTGTCATCAGTTTGGTACTTAACATTTATAATTACTGTGTAATTATAAACAAAAATACATAAATCTTTGAATATAATTATGTAGCATAAAAGTTAAGGTTGTTCACTCTATGATAGCATCTTAGAATTAAACAATACTATTACTAGGGCTGAAAAGTGAAGACTGGTTTAATGTGGTATGATTACTCTGAGGATAAATGTCTGGTTACAAGGAATATTCTATACTAAAAATGCTTACACAAGTGGCCACGTGTTTGAATGAGTGTGTGTGAAAGTGTGTCTGGGTGTGTGAGGTTGAAAGACACATGCTCACACGCACACAACTGGAATTGCTTTAATACGTTAGTGTTTCAGTCTTCATTCTGGTGAACTCTCCATGCTGACTCTTTGTTTCGAACTGAACCACAGGTACAGTTTCTTTTTTGCCAAATGTCAAACAGGTACACATTTTAAAATGTAATGCTTTTTAAATAGTAAAGTGTATAAAATTAGAAGTGCCCACATATAAAAATACTTGAGGTCAAGATTATCTTTAGTGACTATCACCTGCATATCTCTGTAAGTTCAATTGTGTTTCTTCCAATCCCTGTCATATTACCAACAGAGGCAATAAAAACTTCAGTGAAATTGCCATGACTAAATCTTTTCAAATATTATTTCAGTGTAATATTTTTAAAGACGAAATAAACCTGAAAATTTATTCAGGAACAATAATTCCTCGAGGAAAGAGCATTGTAATGGCAAGTTTTAGGGAGAAAACGACATGACAAGTCTTGTTTACTGCGTTTAAAATGTTTACAACTATACTGGGCTGCTTTATTGAATTAACAGTACTGTAGTTGTGTAATATGGCATTGTAAGTGTGTTCATTAGACTTTTAAAAAGTTTTAATGAGAGAAAGTAAACAAATACATGGAACATCTTTTATAGAATATCTTTACTGGGGAATTCTTATTTAAGCAAGGTATACTTTTTTTCCCCCTCAGAAAGACTTAAGTAAATGAAGTGTGAATCTATTTTTATTTGATAAGAAGTTGAAGTAGTTGTAGCTAGCTTAATGTGCACTTTGCTTAGATTTTTAAAAGTATGTTACTATTAAGACTCCGTATTGTAAACCTTCTGTAACTTTTACTTACGAAAGAAGAAAGTTAATCCTAATGAAAACATTTTGGAATAAAAAAGGAAGGTGGTGCTGGGAAAACTTGATCACAGTTCATAAGCGTATGCCTCTGTAAACCCGAATCAACTTCTACAGCACGCATTCACTCATGTAGTTCCAAATGTTAAATTGTGTGTGTTTAATAGAGAATACTGATTTGGCACCTCAGCAGTTTTCTTTAAATGTTACTTTATACTTTTAACAATATGATTTATATTGAATACATAGATGTTTTGATAAGACTTTATCAAATTTGATAATGTAATGATAAAATGTTTTTAAAATGTGAACTATTTAACGTATCTCTTAATAACCGAGGACACAATACCTGAATTGTGATTTTACATAATGTTATAATTAGGGGTTAAATTATGGCTCATCATTTAATTGATTATAAACGAGTATATTTCTGAACTCTTTACTTGCCTCCATTTTTACAATCATACAGCAATAATTTTTATTTTATAGAAATGTGAAATTAGACATCATGATACCTTTACCTTTCCAAGAGGAAGGGGGTTTATATTTCACAGTTAAGATAAATTCGAAAATTCCTCAGAGCACACGTGTCCCTTATCCCAGGTTTATCCTTACTGTTTGTTGCCATTTTGATTGATTACTTGATTAGCATCTGTATCTGGAGGCAGATAGCACTGTTTATTATTTATCTATAAGTCTCATAATGTAGTTGAATGAACGGTTTTCCCAGAGCATTGTCGCCGTCTTGTTTTCTTCGCTCTGTTGGGTGATTGGCGTCTCTGCGGACCAGCCCCTGGACTTGGCAGCTTTTCACGAGGTGCAGTGTTTGTGTTGATGTGGCTGCTGACATCTCTGGTTGACCTTTTCCCCCTCTGTCTTAAGTGAGGAAATTCTGACAAAATGTATATAGAGTTCATAGTAGATGAAATTCCTGCCAAGAATGTCATGATGGAATTTTGAAAACATTATTTTGTGAATCACAATAATTATTCATTTCTGAAATTGAGATTCGAAAAAGTATACTTTTAATGTAAGTTTATCCAAGTTTTTCTTAGAAGTTTTGCTTTCAGGATGCTGTGTTGCCCTGTTCGCATTGCGCTGTGCAGAAGTCAGCATGCGGTCCGGCGCGCCGGGTTCTGGCCACACCGAGGGGCTCCACACCCATGCGCTGGGCCACAGCAGCAGGGTGCCGCTTCTTTCACATCCTCTGTGTGGATTTTTACTCTGTTCCTTGTAGAATATTGGCATTGCATATGAGATTTGAGGGTGGAGGGAAAGTTTGGTTTTAAAAGTTTTTTTAATGGCGTGCCTACCGAGAGATCTGCCAGGTTTTTCAGTGAAATGGAAAGAGGTGGAGTCTGGCAGAGACTAAAGCTGGCCTGGCCAGAGAGGGCAGCACTGCTCTGAAAAGAAGAGTCAATCACGTAAGTTTAAAGCAAAAACCAAAATAATGAAGCTTGATTTGAAATATTGAAACACTTGAAACTTACCAGAGGCAGCATGTGAGTGGCTTAATGACTAAACCAAACAGAAAAGGATAATACTCATTTTATATTTAGAATGTAAGTATGTAGTTAGGTGCATGTTCAATATAAATACTTAAAATTTATTTCCAATTATGAAATATTCTAAGGGAACTTTGTATCTAACAGAAAATTTGGGAAATAACCAAACAAGGGTCTTGGTACTAAAAGAAATAATGTGGAGTGTAAGATTAGGGGAGAACAGTGGCTAAGAGAAATGTTAATGTAAGCTGCAGACAATTTGTTACACCTAGCTGAAAAGCAGTATTTGATTAGTAAAGATGTGTGTACTTGGAATCCTTTAAAAGCATGTTTTGTTTTTAAGTAAATGTTAACAATACTGTTAATCTTGATAGTATATTAGAATTCGTTGTATTAAAGTTATATGAAATGAATAGGTCATCAGCCAGAGTTTTAAAATAGTCATTCCTAAGACTTTGTTGTAATGGCACTTAAAAAAATACAGCTTTGTTGAAGTATAACCTGTATACCATAAAAGTCAGCTGTTGTGAGTGTACAGCTCAGTAGTTAGTGAACAGCATGGTGCAGCCGTCATTGGGCTGGTGTTAGAGCATTGCCATCAGCTGTTCCTTTGCAGCTGCCTGCTGCTGCCCTCTTTGGCTCTGGGCAGCCACGCTGATCTGTCTTTCACGAATTTGCCCTGTCTGGAAACTACGGGTAAAGGGAAGTTACAGTTTCCTGTCTGTCAGTGTGACTTCTTTTAGTTGGCATAGTTTTGAGATTCACCCATGCTGTAGCATGTACCTGTCCACAGTTCCTTTATTTGCTATATAGTATTCCACTGTTTGGATGTTCCGCATTTTGTTTATCTATTCACCAGTTGACGGGTGTTTGGATTGTTGGCATGTTTTGTCGTCATGAATTCTATGAACATTCACATACTTGTCTTTGTGTGGACATGTTTTCATTTCTCTTAGATTCCTAGGAGTGTAATTGTTATATTGGTTGGGAAATTTATATTAACTTTCTGAAAAACTGCCAAACTCTCTCAAAGTGGTTGTACCACTTAAAGATATTCCTACCATAATGCGTAATGGTTGCAGTGTGTCCACAGCCTCATGGATACTGCTGTTATTAACTTACAGTCATTCTGGTAAGTGTACAAGTTACATGTCTAGCTGTCCTGCCTCATATGTCTGTTCGACGTGCCACTTGGGTGAGTGCATGGTGGCCTGAGGAACTGCTGCAGAATTACGCACAGTAGATGTGTACTTACCTGAGGGTGGTAGCTTTTGTAGCTGGTTAGGGTTGTTTCCGTGCCCTCCCGACGGGGGTTGTGGCTCCTTAGTGAGGTTGGTGCGCCGGGCAGCGCTGTGTGTCGCTGTGCATTCCGTGGTGCTCTGAGGCCACTGCCTGGTGCGCCTGCGCCAACCGGAGGCAGTGCTGCCAACATCGCACTGGCACTTGTGTGGGCCCATGAGGGCCTCCTTGTTGAGTTTCCCAAAGCTCTTTAGCTTTGAGGCAGCTAGGACTTCTTAAATTTGTAAAAAATACAGTCGGTATTGTTTTGTTGCTGCCAACTACCTGTGATCTTAAGCAAAGTATGCCTTGTAGCAGTGCTGCTTGAATTTTTGAGTGGAAAATTTCAGACACAGAAGCAGGGTGGTATGCTGACCCTGCTTCCTCGTGATCCGTTGGTGGCCAGCGTTGGTATCTGCGTGCCGTCCATCCTCCCAGTCCAGATTCAGTCTGAATTAGGTCTCAGTGAGTGCCATGCACGTCTAAAGATAAGGACTTACATGAAACCACAGTACTGTCATGGCACTTACGTGTTAACAACTTCTTAGTACTTATCCAATCAATATTTTAAATTGTCTCATTTTTTATCCCAGTTGAAGTCAGGAGTCAAAGGTCCATGTGATGTGTTTCTAAATCTTTCAACCCATGGGTTCCCATATCCCTGCCCTGTGGCTTAGATTTCATTTGTCTGAAAATGTGACATTTGATACACTTAACATTTTTTACAAAATTTAGAAAACATTTTCAGTTAATGAAGTGTAGTATAAAAAGTTGTGGTAATTATATCAACAAATGTACCACTAATTTAAAAATATAATGGCCCCTGGCTGCTGCGGCTCAGTGGGTTGAGTGCTGGCCTGTGAACCAAAAGGTCAGCAGTTTGATTCCCAGTCAGAGCACAGGCCTGGGTTGCCGGCCGGCCAGGTCTCAGCTGGGCGAGTGTGAGAAGTACTGATCCATGCACCGTGTGTGTTGGTGTTTCTCTCCCTCCCATCCCCTCTTTCCAAAAATAAGTAAAAATATAATGAGACTTGTATCCAGAATATATAAGGAACTTTTATAACTTAACAAAAAGACAATCCAATTTACAAATGAGCAAAGGATTTGAAAAGACATTTTTCCAAAAAAGATACAAATGGCCCATAAGCATATGAAGAGATTCTTCACATCATTAGTAGTAGGGAAATGCAAATCAAAACTACAATAAAATACCACTTGATACCCACTAGGACAGCTTCAATCAAAAGGACAAGAAGCATTGAGCATGTGGACAGATGGACATCCGTGGTCATGTGAGGGTGCAGCCGCTGTGGAACGGTTTGGCTGTCTCCAGTCAACTTAGCGTGTGACCTGAGGCTGTAAGAGAGTTGGAAATGTACAGTTATTCACATGATCGCCCCGGTGAACATTCTGTGTTTTAGGAATTTGACTATTTTAGGTACCTCATATGAATGGAATCACAGTTTTTGTCTTTTTGTGACTAACTCACTTGGCACAATTTCCTCAAGCTTTGTCCTTCAAGCTTCATATGACAGTTTTACTTCTGTCATACTGTAGCACGTGACAGTAATTTCTTCCTTTTTAAGGCTGAAGAGTCCATTGAATGTATATACATTTTGTTCATTTGTGTGTTAGTGGCCATTTGGCTATTGTGAATAGTGCTGCTGTGAACAAACTAAGAGTGCAAATGTCTCTTTTGAAACTAAAAAAAAAAATTTATTTTTAGAATGGGAGGGTGGGAGAGAAACATCCATGTGCGAGAGAAAACATGGATTGATT